AGTGCATTATGCCGGGTAGCAGCCATTAGCATGATGTCATGCCACCACACTCCACAGTGACTCCTCAGTGCTCACATGCCTGCCATGGTGAGAGGAAGTGTTGCACTTTTTTCTCTTGTCCACCCCATCTTTTGTCCAGTGTTCCCTTTGGTTTTGGGGTCATACATGTTTGATTATGGGTAAAAGGAAGTCTTTAACACCAGAAACTATAGCTCAAATCATAGGGCTTCATAAAGCTGGGCACCAGAAGAAAGAAATAGTGGAGAATGTTGGTGTGTGTAAGCATTCAGTGAGGAAGTGGGTGCAGCATTTTAAGGCTGGTGGCGGTGTCGAAATACCGTCTGCCAAACCTCGGTCTGGCCCCTCGAAGAAGACATCTGTTCATACCTTAAGTGCGTTAAAGAAGCAGTTAGTACACCTAAGATAACTGCTAGAGAATTGAAAGAAAAGAACCCACATCTTCTCTCAGAGGTGTCTGTAAGAACTATTAGCAGATGTGTATCAGAACAGGGCTACAGTAGTCACCACCAGGTTAAGAAACCAATCCTCTCCAAGACGCAGAAGAAACACAGGCTGGATTATACATAGAAATATCTTCACTGGAATCCTCAACAGTGGTCTGAAGTACTTTGGAGTGATGAAGCAACATTCACTGTCACCTGTAACCATGGTGAATATGTGTACCAGCCCAGAGACAGTGATCCACTAGAACCATGCTACACCTGTGGGACCACCAAACACCCAGACTTGTTCATGGTTTGGGGGTGTTTCAGTGCTCAGAGTGTTGGTGAACTCATTGTACTTCCGAAAAACCAGTATATGAACCAGTATAATTACTTGGAGTTATTGTGCGACAATTTAACTGAGGATTTTGACAAGTGTGAGGCTATGGTTTTTATGCAGGATGGTACACCATGTCATACTGCCAAATCTGTAGTTCAGTGGCTTAAGGACTGTGAAGTGAGGTTCTTTAATGACTGGTCAAGCAATTCCCCAGACCTAAAACCTATTGAGAACCTCTGGTCAGTAGTGAAACGAAGTTTACTGGGCAAGTATATGAGTTCCATCTCAGAGCTGGATGCTGCTCTACATGAGGCATGGAATAATATACCTCCAAAAACCCTCCAGAATTTGTGTGAGTCTTCCTACACAGCTGAGGAACGTGATTAAACATAAAGGACGCAGCACCAAGTATTAAAACCTCAGTAAGTGTGCAAATATATATATTATAATCTTTCATGGTATGTGTTTGTGTTTTGGTACGTGTGTGGAAGAGGGGCGGCATAATGCCGTGACAAGCACTGCATATGTACGTGTGTGTGTGTATATATATATATATATATATATATATATATATTATATATAATATTATATATATATATATATATATATATATATATATATATATATATAATATATATAATCATTTGTATCTACGTCCACAGCAAGACTCGAACCTGCTAACTCTGTATCAGAGTCCACAGTACTTTACCACGGAGAAAACCCAAGATGCTATGGGTTGCTTAGCGAAGCTAAGTGATGTTACCAATAAACTCGGGCACCAAGCTCATTTTGAAAGTTATTTCATCGATCTGCCATATGCAGTGGACAACGAAAGAGATTGAAATAATGCTTAACAATTCACGGAATTGTTTGTGAATTCGCGCAAGAAATATTTTAAATAATTTTGCTTTTTGTAAATTGTTAACGCATATATATATATATATATATTATATATATTATATATATATATATATATATATTATATATATATTATATATTTATACATGTGTATATATTATATTTATAATATATATATTATATATATGTTATATTTATATATATTATATATATAAATATTTTATATATATACATTCAGTGGACCACGCATAAGATTAACCTCCGAATGTGACCAATTGTTTGTAAGTGGATTTATGTAAAGTCGTTTTTTACGTGTATGTTGGGGTTGAAATGGACTAATCTACTTCACATATTTCTTATGGGAACAAATTCGGTTTCGGTAACTGCACCTGAACTTTTATTCATGGAGTGAAAAAATTTTAGTTAAACGGGGTCCACTGTATATATATATATATATATATATATATATGGTGGCCTGGTGGTTAAAGCTCCCGCTTCACACACGGAGAGCCCGGGTTCGATTCCCGGCGGGTGGAAACATTTCGACACGTTTCCTTACACCTGTTGTCCTGTTCACCTAGCAGCAAATAGGTACCTGGGTGTTAGTCGACTGGTGGGGGTCGCATCCTGGGGGACAAGATTAAGGACCCAATGGAAATAAGTTAGACAGTCCTCGATGACGCACTGACTTTCTTGGGTTATCCTGGGTGGCTAACCCTCCGGGATTAAAAAATCCGAATGAAATCTTATCTTATCTTGTATGTATATATATTTTTATATATATATATTATATATATATATATATATATATATATATATATATATATATATTTTATATTTTAAATATATATATATATATATGTGTGTGTGTGTGTTTGTATGTATATATATATATATATATATATATATATATATATATATATATATATAACATATATGTGTGTATGTATATATTATAATTATATATAAAAATTTAATATATATATATATATATATATATATTATATATATTTATATATATATATATATATATATATATGTACAGTGGACCCTCAACCAACAATATTAATCCGTTCCTGAGAGCTCATTGTTAGTCGAAATTATCATTACTCGAGTTAATTTTCCCCATAAGGAATAATGGAAATCAAATTAATCCGTTCTTGACACCCCAAAGTATTGAAAAAAAAATTTTTACATGAAATATTAATTTTAATACACACAAACTGAATAAGACATGTACAATTACATGACACTTACCTTTATTGAAGATCTGGTGATGACTGATGGGATGGGAGGAGGGGAGAGTGTGGATGGTGTTTAGAAGGGGAATCCCCTTCCATTAGGACTTGAGGTGTCCCTTGTTCTTTTAATGCTACTAGGACCAGCTTGAGTCACTGGACCTCTGTTGCACAACATATCTGTCCATAGAGGCCTGTACCTCCCATTCCTTTATGACATTCCTAAAGTGTTTCACAACATTGTCAGTGTACAGGTCGCCAACATGGCTTGCAGTAGCTGTGTCAGGGTGGTTTTCATCAAAAAAGGTTATCACACTATGTATGCCACTACGATTCTTAAATCTCTCAAACCAACCTTTGCTGGCTTTAAATTCACTCACGTCACCACTAGTTGCAGGCATTTTTCTAATTAAATCATCATGCAACTTCCTAGCCTTTTCACATATGATCGCTTGAGAGATGCTATCTCCTGCTATCTGTTTTTCATTTATCCACACCAATAACAGTCTCTCAACATCTTCTATCACTTTCGATCTCAGTTTTGAAAACATAGTTGCACCTTTGGCAAGAACAGCTTCCTTGATTGCCGTTTTCTTGGCCACAATAGTAGCGATGGTTGATTGGAGTTTTGTGTACAACCTGGCCAGCTTGGAGACACGCACTCCACTTTCATGTTGTTGAATTAGACACATGTGCAACTCTTGGGTATCTTTATTAAGGAAACGTTTCGCCACACAGTGGCTTCATCAGTCCATACAAAGGAGAAACTTGAAGAACAGGAGGAGAATGAAGTAATCAGTCCCTCAGCCTTGAGTCGATGTGGTCAGTCCATCAATCTTGAATAGATGGACTGACCACATCGACTCAAGGCTGAGGGACTGATTACCTCATTCTCCTCCTGTTCTTCAAGTTTCTCCTTTGTATGGACTGATGAAGCCACTGTGTGGTGAAACGTTTCCTCAATAAAGATACCCAAGAGTTGCGCATGTGTCTAATTCAACAACATGTCGGTTCTCTGAACCATTCATCTACACTCCACTTTCATACTTAGCAATGATCTCTTTCTTCATATCCATAGTAATTCTCATCTTTTTTGCTGTAGGGTTGGCACTAGAAGCTTTCTTGGGGCCCATGGTGACTTATTTCGCAGGTGCAATCACTAAAAATGCTGTGATATGAAATGTTCCGATTGTGTTTGGATGGGACCGCGGTGGCTGGCTGGCTTGTAAACACTGGCCACAAGTGGACGCGTCTCGAACGGAACGAATCTTGTTGGTCGAGTTTTTTAGCGCTAGTCAAGGTAAAATTTTTGCATTAAAATGTATCGCTAGTTGGATTTAACGTTAGACGATGTCATCATTGGTCGAGGGTCCACTGTATATATACAGTGGATCCCTGACTTATGAACAGCTGCCAACTCGAACAATTATGTAAGTGTATTTTTGTAAGTGTTTCTGTAAGTGTATTTTTGGAGGTCTGAAACAGCGAGAGCCTGGGTTCGATTCCCAGCCAGAGTAGAAACATTGGGCGTGCTTCTTTCCACCTGTTGTCTATGTTCCCCATTAGTAAAATGGGTACTCGGGTGTTAGTCGACTGGTGTGGGTCGCATCCTGGGACACTGACCTAATTTGCCCGACATGCTGAGCATAACAAGGGACTTTCTATATAGTAGTATGTCATTGTTGTCAGCTAGGACTGTATACCTTGTACATGTGCTTGTAGTAAATAAAGATATTATTATAATGGCACCCGAACAGCCTTCTGGAATGAATTAATATTGTAAGTTGGGGGTCCACTGTGTGTGTGTGTATGTGTGTGTGTGTGTGTGTGTGTGTGTTGTGTGTGTGTGTGTTGTGTGTGTGTGTGTGTGGTGTGTGTGTGTGTGTGTGTGTACTCACCTATTTGTACTCACCTATTTGTGGTTGCAGGGGTCGAGTCTTAGCTCCTGGCCCCGCCTCTTCACCGGTTGCTACTGTGTGTGTGTGTGTGTGTGTGTGTATGTATATTTATAATATATATATATATATATATATATATATATTATATATATATATATATATATATATTGTTCAACAAGCAATGTTATCTACAATGTAATGTATGAGAAATAAGTCATAGGAATATAGCTCTATGTGATATTTAATTTCTTAATCAAGAGTCTCTTGTATATAAATAAAGTACGTACATACAAAATCAAAATGAAACAATGGCTTGTATGATATAATTTTGCACTACTGGTGATTGTCTAACAATTAATAACAGCAATAAAAGTACATAATTACTTCATTTCGCATACTTTATTTGTCACTAAATATCTAGTTAATTTATGAGCTTTAGTGACTGCTCCATTTTTTACTTAAACATTTTACAAATATTGTCTAATAATCTCTAAAATAGACATTACCAATAAATGCCAAATCTGTGCAAATTTCAAGGCATCACTACACATATTCAATATTGCAATCAATTTCTAGGTCATATAACAACATTTTAAGCATTATGCTTTATTTTCAAAAGGCACTAAAAGTTATACTTAAGATTCAGTTCTGCACTCATGATAATTCATGGTCCTTGTTATATATATATATATTTATATATATTTACAGTAAGTACTCTTTCTACATTCAGTCATAAGCATCATGCATTAACATCCAAACAAATTTTTACTGACTTTCTCTATACTTTTAAATGTTGATGTTAGAGCAGGTATTCAATTTGCCAAAAAAAAAAAAAAAAAAAAAAAACTTCTTGGCATAGTTTCAGACATTTCAACAGGTAGTGGAATGACAAAGAGATTTATTTGGTTATTAAAATAAACTAGAAAAAATGAATCTTCATTCATATATACATTTAAAAATATTTGGTACTCTATGAATGCATATAAATATACAAGAAGCACAGTAATGAAGCATCATAAAAACTGTGTCACTCTCACTCTACTGCCTGAGGAAATGCCCTGTACTCAAAATAAACAACAGTTACCGACTGCTTCTAACAGAAGAAATACTATGTAAGTAAAATTAAAGGACTGTCACAATATACTGAATCTTGGAAGAAAGTACATACAGGCATAAAAGAATACGAGAGACGTCAAATAAAAATTGAGGAATATATTTAAGAAGTATAGCTAGCACAGAGTTGCGGGTGTTGCATGCCAGTAAGTGGCACACCAGTGTAAATGGTGCAAAAAAAAAATTAACAGGCTCAGTGGGCAGTTAGAGCCAAATGATATAAAACTAAGCTTTTTCTTCATATACATAGACTTTATAAGCTCAATTAATTATCATCATGCTGCTCTAGATAAGCTGACATAAATTCTCATTAATATCATACTTCAAATTTCCAACTCACTCCATAGAAGAAGACTGTATAAAAATACTGAGACTGCTACCATTACATCACCTTTGTAAGCCTGAACTGAAACTTTTTTTAGTATGTATCAAGAGAATACTCACTGATAACACTTGGATCTTAAACTTAAAACTTCATGTGTTGTAAAAATTAAGTTCTGAGCTTTATTCCTTTATACATATTGGTAGCATAGTTTTTGTTTTAATCATTCATTACCTTCAAACTGATGTTTTAATGAAAACTGTCTCAAATTAATAATACCTGTGACATACAATTAATTTATATTCAACATAATTACCAAGAGAGAAGTTGTAAAAACTAATGAGCTGATAAAAATGGCATTATATCAGAAAGTTAACCTTCACTGAATAATGTTTTGCCTGGAGACTGAACTTGGCTCCAAGCAAAATGTTGTCATAGAGGTCTCCGTTCTGCCATAGTCTTTTCATCATAATTACCCATCTGTATATTGTATGTCTTAAAACAACATGCTTCAAACTCAAAAATAAAATGAACATCTCAGCATCCATAAAGCACTACAACTGTAAATACAGGCAGTATCAAATACAGTCATTTCATCAATAGTCATTAACACTGCATAAAGTGTTAGACATTTCTGAACCTAATATACAGTATTATAATTCCAAACGCATATGTATAAAATTCACTTTCCATCCACCACACATTAATTTACCTGTAGACTAATGACTGAAATCTCAAGTTCTACTGTACAAAAGATTATTACAGAATGTCACTCAAAGAGTTCTGAGTACATACAACAAGATTTTTTTCCTTCAAATATCAAGAAATTCATCTCATTATAACACACTGGCTTAGAAGCTGCATAACATGTATCCATTAAAGGCACTCATAAGGCAACGTGGACTGTGCTTTATACATTTGTATAAGCATTTTTTCTGACTAGATGAATCATCAGGTAGCCAGCCATGATGATGATGCAGATAATCAACCTTCTGCTGTTTCATGTTAAGTACCAGTATTATACAAACCAAAAGGTTTTACAGGAGTAATTCAATAGAAATTTTACTTATATAATAGTATTTTAAGTTTTCTAACCTACCTAAAATACTGTTGTTTTTCTGCCAATTATGGCTACCTTTTTAAATGTTCCCATGACTTAACACAGAGTACTTTGACTTTATATATTTCAATGTTATCTTAATAATGCAAGAGATATTTTAACCTAATAACTATACAGTAAACCATTTCATCTAATTATTTCTAAGCTGTGCTGCATGATATTATGTGAATCTTGATAACTTTTAGATTTATATTAACACACTGTCAAATGACTATACTCAGTAAAGTCATTTCATATTAAATAAATGTGTCTATCTCAAATGCTGTCTCATTTGATAAGAATATTTTTATTTAGAATTTAAAAGTGAACATTTCTAGATCTGAAATTATTCCAAGGGATACCTGATTGAAATAAGAAATTAGTTGAAATACCAATTCACAGTGAACACATACTTAAGTAACAAGTCAAAGGTTAGGTTTTAAGATTGATGACTTTAGTTACTTTATATTTTATGGAAGGTACTCGTCAGTTAACAATTTAATTAACACGTGTTTTCTTAGGTAAGACAAATTAGGCAATATATGGCACAGATATGATATTAATGCAGAGATTCTGACTAGATGTTGCAGAATGTTATCCCAATTTGGGGAAGCTTGACATGTTTTCTATACATCTCAGTTAAATTGAAATGTTAAGAAAATGCCCTATATATAAATATTATACAAACTTAATCCTGACAGTGTTTGATGAAACTGGCCAGTGCATAGCCAGCAAAGTTCCACCCACTGTAACTTATTAATAATATTATTGCCTATAAACTAACATCCTAACTGGCTCATCTATATATAGCTTAAAAACTATGAGGCACTGAGTGTAATGTGGACATCCTCACTATGAAGATATACTTGCACTTATAAGTTCTCTGAGGAATTACATACATGATGACCCCCACATTTCAAACAGGCACATGAAAAACTTCTAATATTTGCTTCTATAATTAATAATATATGGCATTGTAGCAAGAGAACAAGTTTTGCTGAGTACAAATTATTAATAACTAGTATTTAACAATATATTCTTAAAATTATAATTATATAATGAGGAAAATATTAAAAAATTCTATCACTATCTTTAGAAAAACCCAGAGTCTCAGATTATAAAACTGAATCTCATAAAGTTTAAAATACAAACCACATGGTTTATAATATCACTAATATGCAACTGAGGGAGACAGCATAAGAAACAATAACATAGTTTAGCTTTTAAGTCTATAAATTAAAAAAAAGTGAAGAATGCCACTCAAGACCTGATATGGGAAACCCTCAGTAGACTATGGACGAGAACTGGGTTATGATAGCCTTAGGTGAGTCATCATAGAATAATTGTTGGTCTCTTATATTTTTTAAAATATATCTTGAAGATAAAATGTGATACATGTATAAACTTATTATGCAATTTTTTAAAAGGTTTCAAGCACTGTAACTGTACTGCTGTATATCTTACATAGCTGTATGATCCTCACTTTCAACTATCTCGTACAACAGTATAAACGTATGCTCTTTTGAATAATTATGTTTACAGTAGCAAGACCATGACAATGATCCCAAGTTATGTCATGACAAAACACCAATTTATAGAAATATGAGCATCGTCAGCATTGCACATGTAGCTCAATCCACGCCCACACCCACCCTGGCTGGCTGATGCATGACTGATGTGGGTGTGAGCGGCTCATCAAGTGTTCACAACCAGGGTGGCAGCGGCCTGGAGAGGAGCCCAACTGCCTTAGTGCAGGTTCCATTAGAGTAGAAGCCATCAAAGGAAAGAGGCTCCAACTCTAATGGAACATTTATTACAGATAACTCCAGGATGGGATGATATTTTGGATAAGGGTGAGTAGTCAGGCAGTAGAGGTTGACCTGGCACTCATGGAGGCTCATACTGGTTAGTGCCAGCACTAGTAAATCTCCAGCTGCTTCTCATCATGGAGTCATTGAGCAACTCTACTGCATTCGAGCCTCTTGCAGTTGGGGCTGGGCAGGCTGGTAATGTGAGAGAGGGATGGTTCCTGCAGCTGCTGCAGCTGCAGCAGAAGCTGCAGGTGGTAACGACCAAGAATAACCAGGCATGGCAGCTGCATACTGAGACATCGCTGAGGCTGCAAGAGAAAGATAATAGTAAACACTGATAAGGAAATGAAGATTATGCACATCACAAAAGCAGCATTTTATATTAGTCCATACTGCAATGTATATTGTAATATGGTATTATATGTCTAAAATGATGTCATTAAGTTCTAGTAAATCACAAGTAAATTCTCCATATAAATTTGTGAAGATAGGCAGCTGGTAAAATTGGTAAGTATGTGATTAAATGAAGTGCACATTTTGGTAGCCTAAATTAGTGAATCCTTTTAAAAAAATAATAACTGTGAATAAAAACATTTATTCACAGATAAGGACATGTTTTCATTACAAGTGACTTTCAGGTCTATGAAGTCACTGGTGACAAAGCATTTCCTATAATAAGTGCCCTAAACTGTCTTGTCAAATATCACCATGTCATTCACAACCAATATGACAAATGTAAGTGTTGGAAAAGAAAAAAAAAGTGACTAAAGCAAAGAAAACTACTCAGTTTTCTAATGATTTTAGTGAAACTGAATGTTTTGTTTGCTAGAATGGAATGAACAGTACCATCATTACAAGACACACTGAGGGCAAATTTCTAGGTCTCCACCATGACTGTAATCTTAAATTTCAAACTCACATCCAGCATATAACTAAGAAAGATTCCAAAAAAGTAGGTATCCTTTCCAAGATATGATACTATGTACCCTAAAGGGTGATCCTTACTTTACATCACTATTATACCGTTACCTCACCTATGGTACTTGTTCTTGGGGATCTACCACAGCCAATCACCTTAAACCTTTAATAACCCAACAAAAAGTGGTGGTGTGGATGATCACAATCTCCAGCGTCATACAACACACCCCACCACTCTTCAAAAGCTTAAGCTTACTTAATATACAAAATCTACACACTTACTACTCTGCCTACTATATATACAGAACCTATGGTATTTGTGCTTGGGGATCTACCATGACCAATCACATCAAACCTTTAATAACCCAACAAAAAACGGCAGTGCAGATGATCACAAACTCCAGCACCAGACAACACACCCCACCTCTCTTCAAAAACATGAACTTACTTAATATACATAATATACACAGTTATTATTGTGCCTACTACATATACAGAACATTAAACTCCAATATCAACCCTCTGCTCAAACTTCTCTTAGACAACTTCAACAGAACACACAGGTATAACACGAGGCACAAAACACTATTTGACATCCCTCATGTCCATCTCACACTTTGCAAAAATGCAATGCACATAAAGGGCCCTAAGTTCTGGAACTCTTTGCCTGAAACAGCAAGAGGTCATCTGCCCTCAAATCAGTTTAGGACTATACTCAAAAATCATCTCATCTCCCAACAACAAATATACCCACATCTTGTTAAATCCCAACCAAATTCTAAGTAACTCTCCCAAATACTTTATTATCCCTTAACTATTAAGCCATTATTACAAACTTACTGATGTATGTTTGTATCACTAATTGTACTAACTCATATTTAAAATAGGGTAAATGAAATTAGTTCCAAACTAAAATAGTATGTGTAGTGATACTGGTCCTGTGGGGAGCAGCAGCAGGATAATACTGCACCACCTCTAGGGGCCCTTAACAACAGCAACAGTTTGGTGTGTGTCATGGGCACCAACACATGGTGTGTGATTCTCTCCTACTTTATCCATTTATCAGCGATGCAGATTACATGGTGAGTTTAAATATGTGGCCTGTAGTTATAACTTTTCTCTTGACATATGCAAGACATCACCATCCCTGTAGAAGCCATTATTAGATGTACTAGTCATTATATTTTGTTGTTGCAGAAGTACTATGAAGATTCTATGTTCAATAAAGCCTAGAGATAAGGCCTGTGTTTCTATCACAACAGTATGTATGATTGATTTTATCACAAAGTGATTGTATCATAAATTGTACTACCTCACACATTAATAATAGATTGAAATATAGAATACATATTGTATTCTACCACTGTAAAAGAACTTAATTATGAGTTTACCTGGAGTTTACCTGGAGAGAGTTCCGGGGGTCAACGCCCCTGCAGCCCGGTCTGTGACCAGGCCTCCTGGTGGATCAGAGCCTGATCAACCAGGCTGTTGCTGCTGGCTGCACGCAAACCAACGTACGAGCCACAGCCCGGCTGGTCAGGAACCGACTTTAGGTGCTTGTCCAGTGCCAGCTTGAAGACTGCCAGGGGTCTGTTGGTAATCCTCCTTATGTATGCTGGGAGGCAGTTGAACAGTCTCGGGCCCCTGACACTTATTGTATGGTCTCTTAACGTGCTAGTGACACCCCTGCTTTTCATTGGGAGGATGTTGCATCGTCTGCCAAGTCTTTTGCTTTCGTAGTGAGTGATTTTCGTGTGCAAGTTCGGTACTAGTCCCTCTAGGATTTTCCAGGTGTATATAATCATGTATCTCTCCCTCCTGCATTCCAGGGAATACAGTTTTAGGAACCTCAAGCGCTCCCAGTAATTGAGGTGTTTTATCTCCGTTATGCGCGCTGTGAAGGTTCTCTGTACATTTTCTAAGTCAGCAATTTCACCTGCCTTGAAAGGTGCTGTTAGTGTGCAGCAATATTCCAGCCTAGATAGAACAAGTGACCTGAAGAGTGTCATCATGGGCTTGGCCTCCCTAGTTATGAAGGTTCTCATTATCCATCCTGTCATTTTTCTAGCAGATGCGATTGATACAATGTTATGGTCCTTGAAGGTGAAATCCTCCGACATGATCAGTCCCAGGTCTTTGACGTTGGTGTTTCGCTCTATTTTGTGGCCAGAATTTGTTTTGTACTCTGATGAAGATTTAATTTCCTTGTGTTTTACCATATCTGAGTAATTGAAATTTCTCATCGTTGAACTTCATATTGTTTTCTGCAGCCCACTGAAAGATTTGGTTGATGTCCGCCTGGAGCCTTGCAGTGTCTGCAATGGAAGACACTGTCATGCAGATTCGGGTGTCATCTGCAAAGGAAGACACGGTGCTGTGGCTGACATCCTTGTCTATGTCGGATATGAGGATGAGGAACAAGATGGGAGCGAGTACTGTGCCTTGTGGAACAGAGCTTTTCACCGTAGCTGCCTCGGACTTTACTCTGTTGACGACTACTCTCTGTGTTCTGTTAGTGAGGAAATTATAGATCCATCGACCGACTTTTCCTGTTATTCCTTTAGCACGCATTTTGTGCGCTATTAAGCCATGGTCAAGTCTGTATATATTACATCTGCATTCTTTTTGTCTTCTAGTGCATTTAGGACCTTGTCATAGTGATCCAATAGTTGAGACAGACAGGAGTGACCTGTTCTAAACCCATGTTGCCCTGGGTTGTGTAACTGATGGGTTTCTAGATGGGTGGTGATCTTGCTTCTTAGGACCCTTTCAAAGATTTTTATGATATGGGATGTTAGTGCTATCGGTCTGTAGTTCTTTGCTGTTGCTTTACTGCCCCCTTTGTGGAGTGGGGCTATGTCTGTTGTTTTTAGTAACTGTGGGACGACCCCCGTGTCCATGCTCCCTCTCCATAGGATGGAAAAGGCTCGTGATAGGGGCTTCTTGCAGTTCTTGATGAACACGGAGTTCCACAAGTCTGGCCCTGGGGCAGAGTGCATGGGCATGTCATTTATCGCCTGTTCGAAGTCATTTGGCATCAGAATAACATTGGATAGGCTTGTGTTAACCAAATTTTGTGGCTCTCTCATAAAAAATTAATTTTGATCTTCGACTCTCAGTCTGGTTAGCAGCTTGCTAAAAACTGAGTCATATTGGGACTTGAGTAGCTCACTCATTTCCTTGCTGTCATCTGTGTAGGACCCATCTTGTTTATGTAGGGGCCCAATACTGGACATTGTTCTCGACTTTGATTTGGCATAGGAGAAGAAATACTTAAAAATTTATGATTGTATCACAAATTGAGCTACCTCATTATTTTATTATTTTATTAACACATTGGCCAAGTCCCACCAAGGCAGGGTGGCCTGAAAAAGAAAAGCTTTCATCATCATTCACTCCATCACTGTCTTGCCAGAGGGGTGCTTTACACTACAGTTATAAAACTGCAACATTAACACCCCTCCTTCAGAGTGTAGACACTGTACTTCCCATCTCCAAGACTGAAGTCCGGCCTGCCGGTTTCCCTGAATCCCTTCATAAATGTTACTTTGCTCACACTCCAACAGCATATCAAGTATTAAAAACCCTTTGTCTCCATTCACTTCTATCAAATATGCTCATGCATGCTTGCTGTAAGTCCAAGCCCCTCGCACACAAAACTTCCTTTACCCCCTCCCTCCAACCCTTCCTAGGCTGACCCCTACCCCGCCTTCCCTCCACTACAGATTTATACACTCTCAAAGTCATTCTGTTTTATTCCATTCTCTCTACATGTCTGAACCACCTCAACAACCCCTCCTCAGCCCTCTGGATAATAGTTTTGGTAATCCCACACGTTCTCTTAATTTCCAAACTTCGAATTCTCTGCATTATATTCACACCACACATTGCCCTCAGACATGACATCTCTGCTGCCTCCAGTCTTCTCCTCGTTGCAACATTCATCACCCATGCTACACACCCATACAAGAGTGTTGGTACAACTATACTCTCATACATTCCCCTTTTTGCTTCCACGGACAAAGTTCTTTGTCTCCACAGACTCCTAAGTGCACCACTCACCCTTTTTTCCTCATCAATTCTGTGATTCACCTCATCCTTCATAGACCCATCTGCTGACATGTCCACTCCTAAATATCTGAATACATTCAACTCCTCCGTACTCTCTCCCTCCAATCTAATATCCAGTCTTTTGTTACCTAATCTTTTTGTTATCCTCATAACCCTACTCTTTCCTATACAGTGGACCCTCGACCAACGATGGCATCATCTAACGTTAAATCCAACTAGCGATACATTTTAATGCAAAAATTTTGCCTCGACTAGCGCTAAAAAACTCGACCAACACGATTCGCTCCATTCGAGACGCGTCCACTTGTGGCCAGTGTTT